TATTCATACAACTTTCTCTGCCAGGATTCAGAATTGAATAATTTTTTTTTGCATTTCCAGAATTTTGGCAAAACTCCCCTGTTTTATCACATTCTTAAACCTTAGTTCCACAACATAAATGTCTCTTCACTGTTATTAAAATAATTTATTTTTATAAATTTATTAAAATTGCAAATTTATTTTATTGCTTTAATAATAAACTCAGAGCTACCTCAAAACGATGTGAAATAATTTAGAAAATTTTTTAAAGACATCATTTAAAATAATTAATTTGCAGTCTTTTGTTTCTTGATAAGTTAAATCTTCAACATAAGACCTCAAGTCATAAAAATGTTCATTCCCCTCACTAAAAATGAGACTCGAAACCTCTTTAATTTCTTTTTTTTTCTGGAAATTTATGTGTGGAAGAATCATTAACTCACGAGTTCCGTACCACGAGTTGATCTTTAATATTTATGAGATAATTGGAGAATTAATTTAACAAGGAGTTAAAATGTTCTTTATGACACACTATAATCGATTTTATATCACATTTTGATGAATGCTAAAGACACATTAAAAATTTGTTGTTACAATGCTTAACTGCATTCCATGCTCAATTCCATAGAGATTTATTTATTTTTATTATGTCACGAAACTCGACAAAAACCCGAAACAACAGCTGAGCATTTTTATGAAAATGATCTGATTCATATCATATACATGTGTATGAGGGACGAAGGCATTCGCGAATCTGGCTCCCACGACAAATATTTTCGGCATTGACATTAATTTCTATTTTTGAAACATTTTTGATATGACAATGTTGCTTAATTAAACAGTTTGGGGGGTTGGCTGGTTGAATGATCTGTGTGACATAAGCAAGCAGTTTATAGAAAGGCTGGAATTTAATAACTAGATCTGAATATTTTGTGTTTCAGAAAACCGTTAAAAATTTGCATTTTGAAACTTCGGCTACAATTTGAATTTCAAATAGGTAAGCGTTAAAAATTTGAACTTTTAGAAACCGTTGAAAAGTTTAAATTTTTGAAACTCGTTAAATCATGACTTTTGTCACTTCCACTATACACAATAATAAACCATCAACACATCGTTGTAGCTTTAAAAATTCGCTCAAACTTTACAATCAACCACAAAACCTTTTGAATTCAATTTATTTTTCACTTCGTCATCGCCCAAAACATTTCCTCAATAATAACATAAATTTTCCTATGTCATTGAACTTATTTTTCTTCCCTCACTGATCGCATCACTAGATTTAAACGGATGCCAAAATAGTGTTGAACAACATTGACACGCAATTAATCCAATTTTTTCTGAAGACATTTAATGACGTGCTACCCCTCGGCACGTAGTTCTTTGAACACTCTTGAGATGCACATAAAATGCTTCAAGTGATCTTTTTTAAGGATCATCTTTCACCAAGTGACTAATGATTTCTTTTGGCCTACGTAGAATTAAGGATCTTTGAAAAATGAGCCATAAATGTTAACATAAAAAACATGAAAAAATCATTTGCTTGAATTAAGTGCTGACTTTTTAATTTATTACAATGAATTTAGATTTTTTTTAAAGTAGGTAGGAAAATTATCTTATTTTTTTCTGTGGCCAATTGAGTTTGAATTTAGAGGCAGACATCATTTAAACTTTAATTTTAAAATACTTTTTAAAAATACAAAATTTTAATTAAAATATGTGTTGAAATAAAATGATTTTAGGGGGGCTAAAAAATCAAATTTTTAATTTATTGTTCCGTGTAAGAAGAAATTTTAAATTGTCGCAAGCATGAAATTGATCTAAATAATTCATAAATAAAATAAATGAGTAATTTTACAGCGTGCAAATTTTCTAGATTTTCTTACAAACACGATCAGACATGTCTGTAGAATTTTATATAAATGTCACATAATCCATATCATCATCTTTATTTCTAATGAAAAATTTGTGAAACTCGCAGAAAATGTCAAAATTAACATAGATTTTCAAATAACTAGGTCAAAAAATAACGGTGAAAAAATATTCAAAATATAACCGTCATTTTGATTTAAATTGTAAAAAGTGCATTTGTTAATTTAAGTTTGAAAGATACGTTAAAGTTTCGATAACTCTTGCGTCCTATTCATAAGCGGAACTGATCAAAAACGGTCAAGAGTCAGCTGAGGGGCCGTTCACTTATTACATTACGCAAAAAAAACGACTTTTTTTCACCCCCCCCCTCCCCCTTGTTACAATATGTTACAATTTAACCCCCCCCCCCTTCTTGACACCCCCCCCCCCCCCTATGGTACATTTTGTTACAATTTTTCAACCCCCCCCCCCCCCCCCCCCTAAAATGCGAACGTAATAAGTGAACGGGCCCTGATCAGTTTTAAATGATTCACTTTGCTTCTTGTGAAGTATGTAATTTCATACAAAAACTCAAAAAACTTAATTTTTTTAAACTCCCAGACAAGTTATTCAATCTTTAAAACACAAATCATCCCAGCATAAATCAAATCACACTGCTATCTCATAAGATTCTTCCTTCCGTTCCTCCCATCACAATAAATCATCTGACTCATCAACTAAAATATTTTTTAAAGAATTTAACAAATCCCGAGGACATACACAACAATTCTGTATTAAATTTCCAACAAAAAGTGCATTTTAAACAATAAAAAACAAATCATATCCTCATATAAAGTTCACGTACAAGCATAAAACATAAATGTTATATTTACATCATTAACATATTCATTACAAAGTTTAAGTAGGTTTTATTCAAGATTGAGACCAAGTAAAAGACGACTGAAAGGAAGGAATCATCAGCCTGGTTTTGTCACCACTTCAGAATATTTTTGGATGTAAGTTAGAGTCTCAAAAATTAGAATTGCATGAGAATTTCAAACTCTTCCGCATTATTTGAGTTTTTCATGATTTCTTTTTTGCATTTATTTATTTTTGGACGGAACTTGAGCCTTACTTTTTTGCACTTTGTCCCCATCCTTAAGTGCCCTACAAGACATTTCTAGCTTTACATAAAAATTCTTCAGATTATTGCTCTTGTGAAGTATGTAATTTCATCCAAAAATCCTCATTTTCTCCTTTATTTGCATCGAACAACTTTTTTCACAATCTTAAATTCCATCCAGCATAATCCATCATACATTCTCGATGATCTATCATTAAAGTATCATCACCCAAGTACAAATTAAAATTTTTTTTAAAAAGTATTCTCCCCTTAAAAAAGACTCATCAATATTACTTTTTTTGTATGCCGTACTTAAATTTCTTCCTTATGTTTTCATCAATGTCGGAAATGCAAGGCAATTGTGTATACAAAAGTTGTATATAATACCAAAAGGAATACACAAAAGCGAGCATGATGCGATATGCTGTTGTTGTTTTTGATTGAATGTTAATGAAACTCGCGTGTTAATGAACTCACAGAATAAGTAAGAGATTTATATGAAATATTTTTTGACTTCCACGAAACAGCAATAAGACACTCGTGAGGATTTAGAGGCAATGAAGCATACATGATGATGATTTAAGGGGATGGTTTGATGCTATGTAGTTCCTCAGGAAGGTATTAAGGAGTCAAATGGATTATTAAATTCAAAATTTGGATTTTTGTATGAAATAACATACTTCACAAGAACAATAATCTGAAAAATTTTGATATAAAGCTAGTAATGTTACGTAGGGTACTTAATGATGGGGATAAAATGCAAAAAGTAAGCCTCAAGTCATGTCCAAAGAAAATAAATGCAAAATAGAATTGATGAGAACTTAAAGTGCGCGGCACAACTTTGAATTCTCAGACAATTCTAATTTTAAAGACTCGAACTTACTCCCAAATACTGTGAAGAGTTGTGAGCATCGCTGATGATTCCTCATTTCTAGTCGTCTCTCGCCTGATTAAACCATTGCGAAAAGACATATTTAAACCTTGTAATGAAAATGTTCATGACTTAATCTAAACACACTTCTATAGATAAGTTTCTTCAAACTACACCTCTGCATTCTGCTACATTCCTACAAGGAGGTCATCATTCCTCAAAATAAAATCATATTTCGTGGTTCACGTCACGCCTTTATTTTGAGGCTGATCATGTCTTGAAAATGTAGTAAGAATAATGGAAATTAATTTTTTATGCGATCAACTTGCAAATGTCACTCGACACGATCGGAGAGAAAAGTCAATACGATTATTATTATTATTTTTTTGGGGAAAAGAGGAAAATGTCATTTCCGCTATGCTTAACGAGAGTACTTAATGATATGTTATTAAAAAAATATTTTCATATTTTTCTTTTTAATTTTCTCACTTCCGAAGGGTTGGAAATCGGAAATGAATAAAAATTCTTTAAGAAAAAAAAATATTTTGTCACATGTTTCTTGGTACGGATGAGAGGTAGATATGATTAATGTTTGAACTGGATTGGGTGGCTGACTTGTTAATTATTCATGTAAAATTAGTAACAATTTTAATTTCTATGATTGTCGTGGCTGGAAAATGTGGTTTTTTGAGTCGTGGAGAGAGCTCATTAATTGATTTATGGTTGGAACTATTATTTTTCGAATGTTAAAGAACAAAATGTGGTCAGAAAATGCAGATTGACTTGCATGCAAGTTTTATGTACAATTTTATGTTTTTCATCAGCTTACAACTCATAAATAAGTCATAATGTGAAATTTTTCGAATCTTTGTAATTTCTGGATGTATTAGGATTAAGTACAATCATCAATAATGGTAGAAAAATGTTAAATTTCATCAACTTTATCCACATTAAAGTTTAACGAACATTTTAAATTTGAATTTTACGCATGTCAAAATCAATACAAAATTCAAATTCTTAAAATGCGTTAAAAAGTATTGCGATTTGAATCCGCAATTTAAGACGAATTTCCCAATAATAGCATCATGTCATCATCAAAGAATGCATGCAGCATAAGAATCACATGCTGTATTTCCACAAAATCATGAAATCGAGATGAAAAATGTGTCAATGTCTCACCTTATATTAAATTTCGTCTATATCCTCTAACAATGATTATTTCTATGATAATAAATAATTAATAATATTAAATTGCACACCAGGCACACGACACACGCGATACAATGGAACTGATAAATTTCGTTTTAGCAAGTTTGGAATTTTCACATTTCTTCGTTATTTTTTTCGGAATTTTGACTTAAACTAATTTTTCATTGTGAAAAATGCGAGACTTTTCAGCAACAAAAGACAAAAGACTTGAGTGACGAGCACATTTCTCAGTCGATAGATCAAAAGAATTTACTTCTTCTATTATTTGTAGCGTCTCGATGATCCGCTTTCGAGAAAATCTAAACACAAACTGAAAAGGAAAGGAAAAATTGTTGAAGGAAATTTTTGTGTCTCGCACAGAAAAACTCGAGACGAGTGCGCTTATTTTATACACAAATTTTTATTTTATTTCTTCTTCTTGGTTTTTTGTTTTTTGTTTAAGAATGAGTAATTTAAAAGAGAGAGGAAAATTCTACAAATTCAGTTATTGGATGTGAAATTAACTTTCAAGTTATTTACATTTCAGCATTATTAAATTCAAAAGGATTTATAGAAACTTCCTATTTCCACGTGAGAAGCGATCGTCAAGCATTGAAGCACTCTTTATGGCTGACTTCTTTCTAGACTCATCAAAACGATTAACTTGTAGGTCAGTCTCACGATTAAATGGCTTTCGCTCTTCCTTTTCATCTTTTGACTTTTTCTAATTGAATCAAAAAATATGAGGAATTAATGATTATCATGAAAAGTTTCCAATCTTAATGTCTTCATTTACCTTTTCCTTCTTCAGCTTCTTTTCATGCAACTCTAACAAAGATTTATCGCGTTTATGTAGTTTCTTATGCTTTCGTGCCAACTCTTCTTGTTCGGCATCACGCTTTGCTATAAACTCATCACGTCGACGCTTTTCAGTACTACGACGATGATCTTCTGGTGCTTCTTGTTGCTTTTCATTTCCATCATTTGGTGTTTTTGTCCATGAGCTGCGATCACTAAAATCTGGTTGTTCGTTGCGACGAAATTGACGTGCTCCGAGTCCTAAATCTGGCACTTTTTTGACTTCTGGGAGTTCGAGCATCCAGTCCTCTGTAAAAAAATTTAATTTTTAAACTATTCGAAATTTGGTTGAATACATGTAAAAAGGTTGTACGTAAAGGTTTGATGGGAATGTTGTATGAAAATGTTGTACGTAAATTGAGTTGTATGAAAATGTTGTACGTAAATTGAGTTTCATAGATTCAAAAAAGCCATTAAAATTTGAATTAAACAAATCCGTTAAAATTTGAATTCTGAAAATCCGTTAAAATTTAAATTGAGTTGTATGAAAATGGAGTGCCTATTAAAATAACGAATTTTAAAATTTCGAAACTTCGTTTTTACGAACTCACATTTTTACGACCATATCATTTTTACGAAAAATTATTTTTTCGACTTTTTTATAAATTTCAAATTCAAAAATGTCGTTAATTTCATCACGTGTTCTCTTCAATAATAAATCTGCAAAAAAAGATTAATAGAACAAATGTTTTCAAATGTATGGAATTAAAACGTATTTTCTTTCAGTATCACATTTCATGGACTACATGTGTATGTTTAAAGGAGTAACAAACACAATTAAGCTTTCAAATCATTTTTGACTACTGCAAAAGCCTTTAATGTTTCAACTCGTGGCACGGATTGTCAACGGTTCAGGATTGATTTAATGGAATTCTCTGTCTTTTCAAAACCTGGCATTCTATACTTTTGTGGCTTTCCAGCCAAATATTTGTCGATATCCATTTCGATGGAAAGAATTTGTGTCCAGTCCAGAATTTGTCTCCTTTAAACAAACACATGTAGTCCATGAAATGTGATATTGAAAAGAAAATACGTTTTAATTCCATACATTTGAAAACATTTGTTCTATTAATCTTTTTTTGCAGATTTATTATTGAAGAAAACATGTGATGAAAATAACGACATTTCAGAATTTGAAATTTATAAAAAAGTCGAAAAAATAATTTTTCGTAAAAATGATATGGTCGTAAAAATGAAGCGTTCGTAAAAATGAAGTTTCGAATTTCTGAAATTCGTTATTTTAATAGGCACTCATGAAAATGTTGTACGTAAATTGAGTTTCATGGATTCAAAAAAAACGTTAAAATTTGAATTATACAAATCCGTTAACATTTAAATTTTAAAAAACTGTTAAAAATTACATGAACCTTGATTATAAAAACCAGCATAAATCCTTACAAAACTAATAATACTCACCACGCTTGTCCATTTGAGACTTGATTTCCTTAGTTCTTCGATCAAGCTTCTGAATTTTCATTTCAATTTTCCTCTTTTCACGTTCAAGCTCAATTTCACTCAATTTCGATGTGTCGTCTGTAGGCAATGGTCCAATCATGCAGTCATCGTCTGATGAAATGTTATCATAATTGTCAATTTCTTCATCCATCAATTCATGGTCTTTGGGTAATGCAGGTCCAACATTTCTTTTGTTTTTGATAAAATCTGAAGGTATTTCTGGTCCAACGAGTTTTCTTTCATTTTGTTTTGTTGCATTGCTTGATGGTGGTAAGGCTGGTCCATAAGATGAGTCATAATCTTCCTTTTCGTCACGCTTTTCAGAACTACGATTGCTAGAATTTCTTGAGTTCATTTCAGACGATCCTTTACGTGGCAAAACTGGTCGATTCTTGTCTATTTGTTCATTTTTATGTTCATGTTTGTGTCTATCATGATGATCATCCTTATTTCTAGACTTTTCTTTATGAGATTTCTCTAATATTCTATCAACCTTGACACGTTGATCATCTTTTTGTCTAGGCTTAATCAAATCTTCTTTATCAATTTTTTCATCTCGACCTTTGGACTTTAAATGCTCATCTTTATGTTCATCTCGATGTTTATGTTTTTTAGAATCATCAAAACTTTTAACTTGCAATTCTTTAATTTTAGGAATCTCATCTCGATTTTGGGACTTTTTAGAATCTCTTTCATCTTTATTAGTGCTGTGACTTGACTTTGAATGATGTGAGGATGAATCGTCTCGTTCACGACGTCTATCGTTGGAATGTGACCGATTTTTGACATCAATTTCACGTTTTTCATCAATTGCTTCCTTTTTGCGCTGTTCAGGTGCTTCTTTGCGTCTGCTTTCTATTGAAGTGTGTTCTCTACGGATGTCATCTTTACGTCTATCATCTAAAACTTCTCTGTGCCTATCATTTCCTGATTCTCTGCTTCTTTCATGCACAATCTTTTGATTCCTTTCGTCTGAAACTTCATGACGTCTATCATCTACAATTTTATGACGTTTTTCATCAGTAATGTCTCTACGTCTATTCTCAAAAGCATCTCTACGTCTATCGTCAACAGGATCTCTTCTACGATCATTAAAATTATCCTTTCTGTGCTCATGAATATCAGATTTTCGACGATCTTTAGAACGTGAGCGCGTACGCTTTCTATTACTTGAATCATCATTATTTGAACGTTGACGTGGGTGTTCTTTATGGCTGTGAGTTTTGCTGTGTGACGAAGATGAATGTCGACTAATTTTCTCATCGCCCTTGTCCAATTTATCTCTACGCGAATCATGTTCATGTCTATGTCTTCTATCAGATTCGTGTCTCTGATCTGAGCTGCGCTTCTTACGAGAATCCCTTTTTGGTGATGATTTTTCATCAGATGTTGTTCGTTTGCCACGCTTAAAGCATCCAGAATCAGAATCACTTGATTCCTCACTTGAATACATGTTTGATACCTAAAAGCAAATAGAATTTAATTAAAAATAGACTGTAATTGGAACTAGAAGAGAAAGGAAGAAAGTGTTTGTGTGTATTTGGAATGAAAAATCAATATCAATCAACAACTTCGTCAATTATTAAAATTTTGATTTTATTTTACTGTTTTTTTTTAAGTACCTAAGGAACAACTACAAGGTAAAAGTCTTCAATGCTTTGCTCCAACTATAACTGAGTGACTTTTTAAGTCCAGCCGTGGGAATATTTTTAAGCGATTGCTTTATGCTACTTTGCCATACAATATCAGCAAGGCTCTTTCGTACAATATCTTGATATTGTGGAGAACATGCGACAGCTCTTAAAACATCCTCTGTATCTGATCTATAACGACCACGATTCCATTCTTGAACGATTCGTCTAATTGGATATTTGGGGAGTTGATTTAAGTGCTGTAGAATAACCAGTGGACCTTTATCTTGTTGCCAATTAACTGAATATTCATCGCCGTCCATCGAATAATTAAGTATCGATTTAAAGACTTCCAAAATTGGCTTATAAAGACTACGAAAATTCTCAATTTGTGGCTTAACGATATTCTTGACTTTATTCTTGTTCTCTCCAAAAATCATACGGAAATCTCCATTGTAACTTAATGAAGTAATTGCACAATAAAAGTCAAATTCACTAAAATCATTAGGCAGTATTAATAATGCTGAATGAATGGCACTTTGTAAGTTTAATTCTAATGCATTCTGGATCTTTGAGTTTTTAGGGTCACGAATTATTTCAACAGGCTTCTGAAGTCGTCCAGCAACATATAAATCTCTCCAATCAAGCAGGTCTTCAATAAGGTCTTTCGTTGATATAACACCGTACTTAATCATCAAGTTTTTCTCATCATGTATCGGAATTAATGTATTACAAAATACTTTAGCTGCATAATTTTCCTGATAACGTGCTACAAAATTACTTCCCATTTGACGAATGAATGAGTAATGACTAGGATTCTGTAATACATTCTGAGAATGCCATTTGTATGGATTTTCGACAACAAACATTAGATCCAGCAAAGCCGGTTTCTTAGAAATGGCTTTAGTCACATTATTAATATTGTTGATGTTTGAAGATGTCGTCGGTGACTGTGAATGCGATAAATTATCATAGCCTATTTGTGGTTTAACGCCAGATCCGTACGCAAAACATAGAGAAAAATTCGGAGGAAACTTGGAGAGTATTCGATAATAAAGAGGCTTAATATTTCCTCGTGTAAGCATTCTTTAATTACTCAATTTTCGAGACTGATTACTTATTTACATAAACATCTGATGAATGAATTGAAAACTTCCAGTTTTTTTTTGCTTTTATACCTTCTCTCTAGTCGCTTCTTTGCTATCTGCACGTTCTATTCGTCTTCCTATCTTAATTACAGCACTTTTTACTTTCTCAAACTTTGTATTATGCTCACTAATTTACAATTTAAAAATCAAACTTTAAACTACTTGAACAACTCTCCTCTTTGCACTAGTAGGGGACTATCAACATTTAACACACAAAATTTGAATCTCAATTAACTGTTGATTGAAAAGTTTCTATAAATAAAGTTTACCGATTATTTTGATTATTTTAAGACATTGTGTTTTCATTCATCATTAGTATTGATTAGTTTAAAGTCAGTAAGAGTTGATTAATTGAGCAAAGAAGAGGAAATAAAGAGGAGGAGAAATTAACGAATTTTTGGGATTCAAATTATTTCCACTCAACTCAACAAAAAATATTTCCTAAAATAATAAAGTCTAATAAAGTTAATAATGGTAATTTAAGGCATTTCCAATAAGATTTAACGTATTAATTACACTACAATAGATAAGTGATTTGGTGCTAAATTGAAGTGACTAAAGTTCAAGCACGAAAAAGTCTTGAAAATCAGGAAATTTGTAAAATTTTCTTACAAAAATTGAGTTTTCTCAAAAAAAATTGCAGAAAATTTGTGAATAATGAGAAAATTTCAAGATACAGCTGAAAATAAAGGATGTGATAAAGAAAAGTGTGACTAATGGGAACAAGAAAATTATTTGGAATGAGAATCAAAAGTTGATAATAACGATTATTGATGAAATGTCCTTGAAAATTCACTTTTTTGGCACCAAATCTATAAAATAGAAACTTATACGCAATTTCAGCAACTTTAAATACCTTAATTTAAATATGATTTTCCATTTTTAGAATAAATTAAAGCAGCAGCAGAAAGATAAGGTCAAAAAATTTATAGCTCTAACACAAACTGGCGAGCAGACAGCTATATTCTGCCTGCAGAATAATGACTGGAAATTGGATTTAGCGAGTGACAATTACTACCAAAATCCCGATTATTACAGAGAATTAGATGCGAAAAAGATTGAACAACTTTTTATCAAATACCGTGATCCAAATGAGCCGCAAAAGATCTTATCAGACGGCGTTGTTAGACTCCTCGAAGACCTTCAATTATCTCCTGAATCCAGGCTCGTCCTCATCATTGCATGGAAATTTAGGGCGCAACAACAGTGTGAATTCACACGAGACGAATTTGTGAATGGATTTTGTGATTTAGGAGTAGATAGTATAGACAAATTAAAACAGAAACTTCCTCAAATAGAGACGGATTTGAATGACATAAACAAATTTAAAGATTTCTATCAATACACATTCAACTATGCAAAAGAAACTGGCCAGAAAGGTCTCGATCTCGACATGGCTATTGCTTACTGGAATATCGTGTTGAAGGATCGCTTCAAGTTCCTTGATTTATGGTGCAAATTTCTCACGGTAAGTGCTCATAAACGAACGTTCCAAATTTAAATGTTTCAAAACCTTACAACAGTCTTATCAAGACTTTAGAACCCTACAAATGTTTTCAAATTTAAAAATCCGTTAAACTTTTGAAAACCATACAAATGTTTTTGTTGACGTTTGAAAACCTCTCAAATTCTACAGTGCTTCAAAGCATTACAAATTCAACTTTAAAAACCCCACAAATGCAATTTTTTATAATATTTCGAAATGTTTCTTTTGTATCACTTTCCCATTAGTCAGCATGATGAAAAAGTTCTCAAGTAAAATAGATTTAACACTAATATAATATAACATGTATTTACAGGAGAATCACAAACGGTCTATCCCAAAAGATACGTGGAATCTTTTGCTGGACTTTGCACAACACATCGATGATAACATGAGTAACTATGATGCTGAAGGAGCATGGTAAGTCGCTCAAACTTGTCTGTTAATTTAATAAAGCTTATTAAATGATTATTTCTGACTAGGCCTGTCCTAATTGACGACTTTGTTGAGTGGTGTCAACAGCGCTTAAGTCAAATGAACGCCACACAACAGCAATTATCGGCACCTCAACAACAGCAACAGCAGCAACATTATTATCAACAGGGAAAAAGTAACATGTATTTTGGGTAATTTGACGCGTTCAGCTCTTTTAAATCTGTTTTTTGCCTATTTACTCAAAATTTGTTTTTCCTTTTTTGTAAATTGATGAAGAAGAAATTTTTTGTTTTCCTGATGAATGCTTATGTAATTATTACTATTATTAATATTTTATTTTATGATTTCAACGTTTAACTGTTGAATTAAAGATATAGTTTTATCAATTAATAAAATGAAGAGAATGATGTATATGGCGACATAAAAGGGTTATTAAATGTTCAAGATTATTTTCCCTGTTTGTAAATTAAAAAATACTTAACAGATTTGGAACGTTAATAAAAATGATGAAATGTAGAAAATAATAACATACATGTTTTATGCTCTTTATTGTTTCTTATTTTTCTGACTTACTTTTACAGGATTTAATATTATTTTTTGACAATGTTGCCGCCAAACTAGGCATTCAAAGAATACGGGACAATATGTATAAAAACTAATTAAATGGGAATATATTCTAGGTAGCATTCTAATGATTATGATTATAATTTTTTTTGTATTGTTCTTGTTGTTAATTTGTGCTTGCTCTTTCATCAACGCATCAAGAGATTTTTTTGAATAATCGTTGTACATTTACTCTAGATCATGATTATTATGATATTTTCTTAAAATCTCATTTCTATCTTAATATACTATTGAATCTCGCAAAGTTAATAACATTCAGCAGTAAGCTTCTCGACCAGTTTCAACAATTTTTCATGTGCATATCGTAATTTCTGGTACAAGTCATTGCTGCACCCATGTTCTGCGATTGTGCTGAATGGATATGTTCGGAAGTTCTTGTCAACATCCAAAAGTGTAACTGCTTGCATCAATGGACATAAAATGATCTTTTGATGGTCTGAGAAATTCAGCTGTAAAATAAATACGGTGGATAAATATTTAAATTTTAACGGTAATTTTGGATTTTGAATTTTATGATATTATTTCAAATTTTAAAAATACGTTACCTGAACAGCTCCGTTGGTCAAGTGCATAACAACTGCACATTGCGTCCTAAACCAGGTATGTAAATGAGGCACACGAGAAACACTATCGTTATCTTTACATGCATTAGCTCCTGCTTTTACGAGATGCTCAGACATGTACCTCTTAAAATAAGTCAATAATTTCATCTTTTTCTCCAATTTCGGTGGAAACGACGTTGAACTAAAGTAAGACTCTTTTCCATCCTTGTCTATAAAGTGGACATTGCTGTAAAAAAAAAGGAAATGTAGATGAATTACAGATTTAAAGTTTATAAATATAGTCAAGCCTTACTGTCCGTTCGCGAGCATAATTAACTTTGTTGTATCATTAAACATAACACCCATTCCTTCATCACATAATTGATATCCAAATCCATACTTATCGCTATAATCGACCCATTTACTGATCCAAAACAATGGATTAGAAGCTGGATCGCTATATTCATCACCTAAATCACTTAAATGACGTTTCAATTTCTTGGCAAACAATTCATTCATTTGTTGATACAAAAGCTCCAAATTAGTCTTTTGTAATTGACTCGAGGCAGTCATCATACCCGAAGCTGTGATGGCATCATGCAAATTATTCTTAAGGAATGAGAATTCTGAGTGTGTATCATCTAGATTAGATAAAAAAATTAATTAAATAAATTAATATCGAGGGAGGGGAAGATCGAGGGTCTTCAGAGCATTTTTGACGCAGCGATTAGTATTTGATTATAAAACAAACTAGAGCTTTCTACTATGAATGGTGCAAAAGTTTTTTTGACCCAAACGAATTTTCAAAAATGCGTTAAAAAACATTCAGTTCCTGTGAATATTACCTCCGTTCATTTCAGCGAGTGGACGTCGGGCTGCTTTTTCATTGTATTCGAGCAGTTCTGGACGTGGAGCAGTTGTTAAGCATGAATATGGCAATGATTTTGGAATGGGAGCATAAGTTAAGAACTCAAAACGCAACAATTGACCAACAGTTGGACGCTTTTCTGGATCAGATTGTAGCATGGCAATGATCATTTCAGCTGCATTCTTGCGCAAGTTTGATGGCAAGCGATAATCGCATTTTTTAATTTTATGATAAGTATCCTTTAAGCTCTTTGTTTCAAATGGTGGCTGTCCAACTAAAAGCGTATACATAACACATCCGATTGACCAAATATCAACTTCATACGAATGTCCCTTTTTGTTGAGAATCTCAGGTGCTATATAGTTTGGAGTTCCACATAATGTCTTCTTGCGTTCTCCCTCAAATTCGATCTTTGTTGCTAATCCAAAATCACCAATTCTAATTTAACGGTAATTTCAATTCAAAATGTCGAATAAAAACAATAAATTGAGTAGTGACTTACTTGACATGCAGCTCATCATTAAGGAACAAATTTCCGAGTTTGAGATCGCGATGGATGATACGGTTTTCATGCAAATATTGAACACCACTGACGATTTGATGGATATAATAACGACATTCATAATCAGTAACAATTTTTCGACGTTTATGTAACTCCATCATAGATCGCTTCTTGCACAGTTCCAGTACAATATAAACGTTAAATTGATCATCAAAGAAACTGTGGAATCCAACGATATTTCGGTGATGTAAAGATTTGTGAATTTGAATTTCTTGAGTCATTTTCTCCTTTTGATTGGTCTTCATCATTAATTTCTTTGATACAATCTTTCCAGCATATGTCTCACCGTTGACAACATTTTGAATCTCATAACATTTGGCAAAGCCTCCCTAATAGATCAGAAATGGAATTTACAGGACACAAAAAAGTTTAAGGAAATTCGTTATTTTTTTCATAATTCTTTCGAGGTTAAGGATTTGTGTATAAACATCAATTAAAATGGTAATTAACTTACTTTTCCGAAGAAACGAAGCTTCCTGTACGTAATGGCTGATGTTGAATCATACAGCTTATCTGGAATCTCCTCAACAATATCGTCTTTTTTCGACATTTTTGTTTGAACTTTTTTTATTTCTCAATAATTCCTAATTTTAACTACACTTTTAATGTTTCTTTACAATCACTCACTAGAACTCAATTCCCTCTTGTATTACTGCACTAGTTTGATAGTTATATCGGAATGAATAGCCGTATTTTAATTAAATTAAGTCGAAAATAAAAAAGCAGTTTGCAACACGAACGGTTTTTTTGAAGGATTTTCAAATTTTTCCGTTAAGCCCTTTCTGCAAAACAAATTTGTCTTTAACTTTCAAAACAAAACACTATTTTCGCTTATTCCTACTGGGTTTAGTGTTGTATCATTTAAAATTACTAATAATGTGTTTAAACTACCTTAATTGTGCTTTATTTTTAATTTTTTTCAACTGAATTTTTAACATTTGAATTTATGACGAAACTTTTTTCATGGAAATGACATAAACTCAGAAAAATCAAATTATTGCACCAATTCAATGATTATTTGATTACTATTAAACATTTATTACTCTAATATGATGATAATTCATAGTTCTAGGTACCAATCTATATAATTAAAGCTGTATTTGTAGATAAATTAATTTATAACATGATACATCATCGAGGTTGGGTGTGAAAAAGTGATTTTCTTTCTTTTTTAACGAAAATTCTTACAGATTACACGTCTTGGTGAGTAAAATAAATTTTATACCTTAATTAAGCCTCATAATACTTCAATTTATACCTAATTCTGTTAATCGAAGTACATTAATTATGAATAAGCAGAAGAATCTCAAAAATCCTTTTTAAATTCTTCAAAAAATGATAAAATAATTTTGACAACAACAACATGATAAAAAATAACTTTCATTTTCTATTTTTGTAGTTCTTAAACGTAAATATATCCTTTTCCAAGCATCAAAATGGTTAGGGAGAACAAGGCAGCATGGAAGTCTAATTACTTCACAAAAGTTGTGGTAAGTTATCGATTTAAATTAATTAAGAAGAAAAATTGAGGTTATAAAATGTGGATATAGAATTAAAAATGATGAAATATGAAGTGTCTGAACATGAATCGTCCGGCATTGGACGGCTTGAAAAAGCTGAACCCACCAGTGCTTGATTCGTGGTTGTTTGTATTCGCTGGTGACAGCAGTCTGAGGGACTATTTCCACATTAATTAACCTTTTTAATTCATATTTATGATAAACGTTTACTTATAGTATTCTTTACTTTACAGACATACCTCGATGAATATCCAAAATGCTTCATTGTCGGCGCAGACAATGTTGGATCGAAGCAAATGCAACAGATCCGTATTTCACTTCGTGGACTTGCCGTTGTTTTGATGGGTAAGAACACTATGATGCGTAAAGCAATTCGTGGACATTTGGAGAACAACCAAGCACTTGAAAGACTCTTACCACACATTCGTGGTAATGTTGGTTTCGTTTTCACCAAATTGGACTTGAATGAAGTTCGTGAAAAGTTGCTCGAAAACAAAGTACGTGCTCCAGCCCGTCCAGGAGCAATTGCACCATGCCCCGTCATCATTCCAGCTCAAAACACTGGTTTGGGTCCAGAAAAGACCAGTTTCTTCCAGGCTTTGTCTATTCCAACAAAGATTTCAAAGGGTACGATTGAAATTATCAATGATGTCCCTATTTTGAAGCCAGGTGACAAAGTTGGTGCTTCAGAAGCTACATTGCTCAATATGTTGAACATCTCTCCATTCTCATATGGTCTCGTTATTGAACAAGTTTATGATTCAGGCAGTATCTTCTCACCAAACATTCTTGACATTAAGCCAGAAGATTTGCGCTCTAAATTCCAACAAGGTGTTGCAAATGTTGCTGCTCTTTCATTGGCTATCGGATATCCAACAATCGCTTCAGCTCCACACTCTATTGCCAATGGATTCAAGAACTTGTTGGCTATTGCCGCCGTTACTGATGTTGAATTCAAGCAAGCTGAAACTGTCAAGGAATTCCTTAAAGATCCAAGCAAGTTTGTTGCTGCCGCTGCTGTTGCTGCTCCAGGTAAGCAAATCGTTCCTTTATAATTCTTAAATTCTACAACTAGTTTTAATCTCTGGATTTAAATTTATATCTGACTTAAAAAATTATAAACAATGTCTTTATTTACTCTTAATATAGCTGCTGCTGCTGCCCCAGCTGCCGCTAAGGCTGAAGCCAAGAAGGAAGAATCAGAACCAGAATCTGATGACGATATGGGATTCGGTCTCTTCGATTAAACATCTAAATCATAAAATTCCATCAATTATTGGTCACCCAAATGTTTCGATCCAACATTGTAAAATCTTTTTATCACTAAATGCATGAAGAATTGTAAATACTCGTCGGGAAAACTAATGGCGACTTACAATTTTGATTGCATAAGTAAGCAAAAGAGAAGAGCGAAAAAAAGTCAACATTCCTCTTTTTAACACCATCAAATAATAATTATGTATCTTGTTGCCTGAAGACCGGCAATTTTTAAATTAAATGAAATGAAATAACGTTTAATTTAATAAAAGTGACCAAAAAAGAAATAAAAATGTTTCATCAATTTTCTCGTCTTACTTTTCAGGCATTCTTTTGATTATTTGCCAATTTTCAGTGTTCTTTTTTTTGTTCAGCGGCAGTCAGTTTTACCAATTTAGTTTATTCATTTGTCAGGAAATGTTTGAAAACATTATAAATTTTTTGAAACTATTGTAAGGTTTTGGATATGAACTTGTAGGGTTTTGAAATTTGTTCCTGCGTTTAGAAATTTAATATATTTTCTACCATTACAAAAATTGTTCGGTGTGCGTTCAAAAACTCGAATTTGTTTTTACCGTTGTAACATTCGAATTTCAAAAAGCCGTTAAATAACATTACAACTTTTAAAGCTACCCTGTTTTTTCGTTATAAGCTACTACTCGTTACTAAGCTACTAGCTTAGTAAAGTTTTTTTGAACTTGAAAATTTTTTGTAATCTTTACTAAGCTACTACCAAAAATATAGTTTAATCAATATTTTCAACTTTTTAAGTATCAGTTTCAATGTCTTATGACATTGTCAATGAAATAAAATCGAGAAGATAGCAAAATTTCTTTAATTAAGTTAAAAAAATTCAAAATTTTCATTGAAGTTCAATTTCTTTACTAAGCTACTACTCGTTACTAAGCTACTAGTGATCCAAAAAATCACTTTTTTATTCTTCTAAGCTACTAGCTTATAACGAAAAAACAGGGTATTTATTTATTGATTCGCATTTTGGTGAAAAATTTTTTAAGCTATGGCGCAATTCTTTTCATCTTTAATAAAATTGAAGTCCTTAAGTGATAAAAAAATAAATATTTTCAAGACCTAGATAGAAATGGTTCTCAAGCATAATTCACAAACAAATCAAAATAAACTTTTATCTGTACCTATTAATGATCAAGCCAACAGAAAAGCGCTCAAGTACTTCACATGTGACTGCATCAACGACTTTATTGCCTTTCTCGTCTTTGTTTCAGTTCAGCCTTAAAATGATTGTCACGCTATAATGATATAGAAAAAAATGGCCTGAAAGGGCATGAAAGAGAGAGACGAAATAACAATAAGGCAGACATGTCTAGGATTATTGGGAGTACAAAGGAATGTGAAAACGATGTAAAGACAAAAGAGAAGGAAGGGAGGAAAAATTGGGTAAAATTGTGATAATTCTAAGAAAAGACTTCTCACAGCGAGTTTGAGGACTTGATGGTCATGCATGCGCATTTCTTGGGTATTTCTTATTTAGTGACTAGCTCAATCAATAGATCACAAATTTGAGCTTCAGAAAGACTTAATCTGTCAAATAATCCAAGTCCTATACACATTATAGTCTTTAGCAATCTAAGCAGGCAGTCAGTCGAAATGAGCACAGCTCAACCTTACCCCAATTCAACTAAAATGCGCTTGAAAGAACAAATTAACATAAAATGTATTTAACCCGTCAATTCTTTCTCTCACTCAATTCCAAATGCCTTCGGAATAGACTACAAGCGGCGATTGTGATAACATTGAACATTGAGGTCCAAGCACGTTATACGAATTATAAAACTACAAAGATTTCTTCAGAACCAGTTTTTTTTTCTTCTCAAACATTTTTGTCGAGATGTCTCATCGGGACTCATGCATCAATTTAAGAATATCACTCTTTTTCGAACATGTTCATTTTAATCGTTGCTTCTTAATGGGGTTCAATTTATCTTATTTAATTAGCTTTTCTAAATTACTTTGGTCAACGTGTTATGGAACGACTTTTTAAACTTTGAATGTTTAACGGTTTTCAAAAATTTGAATTCAAATTTTACTGAATTTTTGCAGAAAAAATTCAAAATGAAAAATAACGGAAAAGTTTTTCGCAAAATGATTTAAGATCAAGAAATGGCACACGTAAAGTAACTGTAAAATCATTACAGCACGAGGAGAAAACATCCAATTACGTAATTCTCAAAATAACCCCAATAAAAAATCCCAAATGATGAAATCACATTGCTTCGCGCGGTTCGGTCAACACGAAATGCAGGTTGAAATGAAATAAAAGTATGGAAACAGAAAGAAAGAAAGAAACAAAATCATGAACTTCGTTAGTCATACATTGATTCATTCCATTAATGACGACGATCACATGTTATTTTTTTGATATGATTAATTTTAGAAAACTGAAGTTTTAATTAAGGTAAACATTTTTCATGTCTATATGCTTATTTTTATACCTAAGCCTCGTATTATCTACGCAGCAGGCCTGTGACATTACATGTGGACGTTATGTGTTTTTTGAAGAGAAAATTGAGCGCAATTGCTTGATTTTCTTGAAGGACAAACAGATAAGCATTTTGCTGCTTGCTTGCTTGCTGACTGACTGTTGTGCATGTATTCATTCCAAAAAGGAAAAAAAAAGACGACGAAAACAAGAAGTAGACGTAACATGTCAGAAGAGAGAAGTCTCCCAAGCGTGATAAAAGAAAAGTCAGTCACTAAGAATTGCAATGTATACCTACATACACAATAAGAATACTCAAGATACAAAGTAAAATAATGGGACATTAGCAAATAACAAAAGAGTCAGTAAAATGAAACTTTCAAGACCTTGAAATCGTATCCAATCCATCCAGCAAGCTTACAGTGCTTGATGATGCATGAAATTCGAAAATATTTTGTTTTATACAGAGTTGCAGCACAACTGAGCATAGCATAGAGTCAGTGGTGTGGCGAGCAGGAAGAAAGGAACAAAAAAAAATCGAAAATCCCAACCAATGTTATCTCTAGAGAATTGATAGGCGAGGAGATAGAGTAGGAAGGAAGGCTAGGGTGTTTTTGAGTATTAAAGCTATATAGCATGCAAAGCTACAATTTTATATGTGTTCACATCTATCTCTTTCTCATTTGCGTTTGTTCATTCGTTCATTGAATTCAAGCAGCAGAATGGAATAGGTTCTTTTTTTGAAATGTTTATGCAAATCAGTTATCTCAATTCCATTAATTCAAACCAGAAAGGCTTTTGCAGAATGAAAAAAAAAATACTTTTTTTGGAGCTCTTTGTGTGTATAAAATATTTTGTGTGCTTATGTATCGAAAATTCTGTCTTCCACTTCTCTTGTGTCTATCATGCATTTATACGAATGAAACGTACATAGAGTATAGTGTGCTATGTATATTTAAAATATCCGATTAATTGGGGATACTGTTTAAATTATGTCATCGACATTTCCTCCTCTACATCGTCAATTCAACTACGTCATTGCAACATTGATGCTCCATCAAAACTATGTCACAGCAACGTTGCTGGCACGTCAAAAACATCGACAAAGTAAAGCTATGTCACAGCAACGTCGCTGTCACGTTAAAATACCATCAAAAAGGTAAAAATTATGTCATTGCAATGTCGCTCCTACGTGACCAAAACGAGTATGTTATGTCACAGCAACATCACTTCAAAGTCTACACAACATCGCTGCTACGTCTCTTTATTGGCAAAAAACGTGACAGCACCCTGATGTCTATTCTTGACTAACTTAATATCCAAAATTTTATCATATCCCCAGTGTGCAGCTCAAAATACTGCTGACTCGAAAAAAAAGAAGGAAGAAAAAGAAACTTAATTGATGTGCGCACGTTTGTAATAAGACTATAATAATTTACATTGTACTCCACGTGCGCGACACGTGTTGGATATGCAATTTTTATATTATATAGCTATCAAACATCACTGATGGACACTTCCTTCTTTTGTAAATGCCAAAAAACCAACAGAATTCCCATTTGAATATCGTTTCGAAAATAAAAAAAAAATTAAACCTATGTATGTACATCATGCTACATTTCAGAATCCCAAAAAATAAAAGAACCGAGAGGCAGTGAGGGTTAGGAAGTGGGGGAGAGAGATTTGACCATACAACTACAACAAATGTAGTTTTGAAAAGCAAAAAAAAAAAATAGGATGATGATGATGCTGTATGTATTATTTTTCCATTTCTACCCCATAATATAGGATGTGATTGCTGTTGTTGTTGCTATTTAGAGCGATCAGAACTAAAATTCCACTCTTGTTGGTTGACTGAATATGAGTTTGAGTCGAAATTCATACGAGAGAGAGAGAGTAGATATGTGAGCAGGCGAAGCGGAGTGAGTAAGAGCGTGAAATAAACACGACATTGGACGATGGATGGACTCTGATGGATAAAGTGGCGGCAAACAGTATGTGGAAAGACGAGCGCCCCCATTAAAAAATCTCCCAATGCATAGAGAGCATACAAGGCCATCAATCAATATATACACTATGGATATGTATGTACATAAGCTGTACACATGTGAAACCAGTTTTAATTCACCATGGGATCTCTCGCTCTTTAAAGTCTTGCTTTTCTGTCTTGGCATGGCTGTACAGAAAATATAATATAATACAAAAGAAAAGTCTTAATGAAGCACATCCATTTAACATCCCTACATTATCATCTGGTATCCAGTCGATAGTCATTGCTGTATATTTCTTCTACGTCGTATTCTTCATCCTCTCTCTCTGTTGTACATTTCAAAGAATAACAGCGGGATCGCATGGCTTGCATGCCACTGGCAACTCCAAAAAAAAAAAAGAAAAGAAAGAACAAAAAAAACTCATCCTATCCAATACATAAAAATCGATATTGTATATATACATATATATTGCACAGCCAATACATCTTTAGTGGTATGAGTTTCGGGAATATGTGGTTGTGTGTATGGCAAGCACAGAGCAAGCAGGCGAGTGGGCAAAAAAAAGAACTGTTCGGTTTTTTGAAAATCTACCATTTTTTCTGTATAGTTTTTTTTTCAAATTTTTCTTCTTGCATACAAAAATAGATTTTCATGCTTTCAACTCTTAGCGCGCGAGATAGATGATGTCGAATAGGAATAAAAATTAAAATAGAAATATAATGCTGCTCGTTGTCGCCGCGCGCACAAACAAGTCAGCTATATAGCTGGCTGTAAGAAAGAATGTACATGTACAATTTACATTTTAGACCCACATTAAGATTTGGTCACGATTTAAGCGTCTTAAAAGAAACAGACCCGAAAAAATACACAAAATCTCGTACGCGATATCAGAACGGTGAGAGAGACAAGAGAATCGATGAGAGAGAGCAACGATGGTGTGGAGGAGAATGAGATCTTATAAAAATGTGGACAGCTGGCTGGTCAGAGACAAAACAACAACTATATAAGATATATATGTTCGATATATAGTCAGCAGTGAAGCATGTTTGATAGAATAGACATCCTTCGCTTGATTTCTTGAATTTCGTAAACGTCCGCTGCTGCCTGCTTACTTGCTGTTGTATTACCAATACAATTGCGAATGTCGAATAACTTTAATCTTGATACATCAATATAGTTAATGTATAGCCATAGTACATACAAACAGTCAGTCGTCATTCGAACAGGGATGTTGTACTTATATATATTTATTTATTTGTATCTGTATTTTTATTTATTATATTTTCTAGATATATACATTCACCCTGTGTCTAGCATCTGCTTTAGTTCTGCTATTTGCCATGTCAAATGCGAAAAAATAATTTAAGTGGAACGTTCGTATGAATCGACCGAATGAGAATAAAAAAAAATTGCCTCCCCGCAAAAATTTTATACTTTACACAAATGTGTATTGGTAGGATGATGTTGTTGTTCTATGTTGTTCATGCTGTATTAGTATTTTTGTATTTTCTGTGCACTTGCTGACTGATAGATTTGAGCGCTGTGGATATACCCGACGTACTACATTTCTTTGATGTATTATAATCTATGAATCATATAAATCTGGGAAATTTTAAAAAATTTATTAAAAAGTAATCAAAAATCTGTCATTGACCGAGTAATAAACAGGAATAAACCAGTAAATCAATCAATTACGACATCATAGTTCATACATGACATTCAGCCCGCTTGAAACATTTTCTTCTTTTTCTTTCATTTCGATTCATGAATGTGTCTGTGTGCATTCTCCTCGCTTTTTTTCAGTCGTAAGTTTTTTTTCTATCAGAAAACACATAACATTCATTTGGTGGTGCTAGTTTATTTATTTTTTTCAAAAAAAAAAAAAAATCAAATCAAATCAAATATCCAAAAAGGAAAAAATAATGAAAAATTAAAATTAAATAATTATTCTATTAATTTAATTAACCATCCATAAATGAGGATTTGATAAACGTTAAGGAGCATTAAGCTAGTGAAACTATATTAAGTTCTCCGTTGTGTGTCTTATCACAATAGAACAACTTTTTTTTTATCACACATAAAGAACGAAAGAAAAGAAAAACGTTTTAAGAGTGCATAAGAGAGGCAGGCAGTAAGAGAAGAGAAGAAAGAAAAAAAAATATAAATAAAATGGAAGATGGATTTTTTTTGAGAATTTATTTTTGTAAATTTTTTGAAAATAGTAAAAATTTTAACGTGAAAATGTGAAAAATCAGACCCACGGCATTTCGGAAGTTGAGAGTCGAGTGTGTGAGAGAGTGAGAGCGAATGTGAGCAGGCTAAACGAAGCCAAACTTTTTTGTGGTTAGGAGTTTGCTTTGCATTTATAAAAGCTCTTTTATGCGTGTGCCATCATCCTGGAAATAAAAAAAAAAGAATTTTAATATATGTATATACATAGATATCCCTATCGTGTCGTATTGTATTGATTGTGAATGTATATTGTAGAATAAAGTGAAATATTTATGTGCAATACTGTTGTTATGCAGAATATGGATAGTTTTTGGAATTATTGTGCAATGACAAGGATTTTGATATTTGCATCACAGACAGTCACAGTCACATGAAAATCAAAAGTTTTATTAAACAAATTGCATCGGAACGAACTCAAAGAAATGTTCATTTAAGACGAGAATTGAAGGATTTACGACAAAAGTTAAAGTTATAGAACTTTTTTTTTTGAAAAATGGAGTCTTCCACTCCTTTATCTTCCTCTAGTAGTGGTAATAACAATAATAATAATAATAGTAATACGATTGCTCAAGATCCTCTCGCGCTATCAAGTGAATCGTCTAGCCTATACAGTAGTAATAATAGTGGTGAAAACTCAAATAGTCAGGATCGACAACAACAACAACAACAACATGAACTTTGTGGAAATTTATCGGCGACACAAAGCAATAATAATTTAAGTGATAAAGAGAATAGTCTCAATGAGAATGGCGCTATCTATGCAAATGATATAACAATAAAGCATGAGGATGCAAATTCATTAGCGGACGACCGAAGATTGCAATATGATTCCAACCAAATAGCAAATAATTATAATTCTAGTAATGATCCAAGAAAGCAGCTCAATCATATGGGCATGCATCAGCAACATTTAACGTCACATGAGCCACATAAAACATTTAGTCATTCCATAGAAAATCTTAGTAAAACTACGGAAAAGTGTACACCAAATGAGATAAAAATGTAAGTTAACTCACGACTCGACTTTACTTTACTTAGTTTTATCAAAAAACTATTTATATTATGTGGATGGATGGATGGATGGACGGACCGAGAGATAGATGGATGGATTATTATCTTCTCTCTGTCTCTCATTCTCATCGAAATGTACACATATATAAATATATCCACTATTTCGTGTTATCCCTCTCCCACACGCATACACTTTAACATATACACATGTATATTTTGAAAGAAAAAAAAAGACTAAAAGCAGATCTGACTCTACACACATCTATAAACTAAACTATTCTTTTCTCTCTCTCATTTACTCAATTTTATTTTATTTTACTTTACTTTTGTGTATACGCGCTATATGTCATCATATGTAGGTATCCGAATCTAATAGATAGTGGTCATGAATACGATGATGGCTATGAAACAGGTGTGGGTGACTTAATGTCACATAAATATAAACTTCCAACGCTGCCACCTCCTTCGTCCTCACCCTATTCATCGCTCTCATCTTCATCTATGTCAACCATTTCAACGTCTACAATGACACCAACGAATTTGGTAAATCCCCAACAACAGCAATCTCCGTCATACATGAGTGGTGGTAGCGGTGCGAACGGAAATACCGGAAATACCATGAATCATTATCAACAACAGCAACAACAACAACAACAACAATATCTTCAAAGTCAACAGCAGCAATATCAATCAATGCAACAACATCAAAATCATATGAATTCATTTAATAATTATCATCCGATGTTTGGTAATAGAGCAATGCAGCATCAAGCAATGTCAAATGTAATTAAGAATGAGACATCAATGACATCTGTCGATAATGATCCATATAGATTCGTTGACGATGACTTATCAAATGGTATGAATTCGGCAAGTGGGATTCATAGTGCAATGCATCAAAATTATCAGCACATGACATCGCCGACAGTAATGTCAGGGAATTATCCGACACCTAATATGATCCAGCAGCAACAAAATTCAACGACAGGAAACGCATCAATGATGCAATTCACTGAACATCATCATATGTCACCGCACCATCATCATCAATTGAGTCATAGCCATCCACAACAAATTCAATCGCAACATAATATGATGAATGGTAATGCTAATGCTCAAAATATTGGTCACGCGGGAATGAACCCAAACATGATGATGATGAATGATACTCCGAAAAAGCGAGGCCGAAAGAAGAAGATACGAGACGAGAACGGGTATGTATAACAATATTTTGTTGGTTCTAAATGACTTAAACTTAGTATTGGGCTTCTTTTTGCAGTAATCCAATTGAAGACAGACCAGTAAAAGAGCGCAAAAAGCATGATAGATTTAATGGAATGCCGGAAGAAGAAGTGACGAAACGAACTATTCCAGATCATATAGCAAATAATTTAGATATCATTATCGTAAGTTTGTAAAAATTGTTATCCAATTTTCTATTTCATGGCCTTCAGCATTATCGATCTAAAATGGATTTATTCTCTTTATTTCATTTTTTTTTTGTTTTACTTCTCTTTCGTGTGTGTTTAAACATAAAATAGATTGGAATTAATCCTGGTCTATTTGCGGCATACAAGGGTCATCATTACGCAGGACCAGGAAATCATTTTTGGAAATGTCTATATTTATCTGGTTTAACATCTGTACAAATGACAGCTGAGGAAGATTTTAAACTCATGCAATACGGAATAGGATTTACAAATATGGTTCAGAGACCCACAAAAGGCAGTGCCGACTTAACGAGGAAAGAGATTAAGGAGGGCTCTCGCATTCTACTTGAAAAGCTCCAAAAGTATCAACCAAAAATTGCAGTTTTTAATGGCAAGCTAATATTTGAGGTGTTTAGTGGAAAGAAAGATTTTTGTTTTGGTAAACAACCGGAGACTGTAGAGGGAACTAATACGGTGAGTACACTAATCAATATTTATGAGTACATTTATTTTAATAGAGGTACAGCAACAGTGAGAACGACAAAAAAAAAATTTAAATTAAAATTCATTTTTTTGGCGCACAACTCTTTAGATTTGTCACTACTAGTTCCAATCAGTTTGTACACTTGACTGTCTAAGTATCCCTTTAAAATTTAAATCCCCAGACATCTCAATGCTGTGTACTTGCCGATTCAATTTGAAGATGTTTGTGGATGACAGGGGCGTAGCCAGAAAATTTTTAAGGGGGGGGCCCATTTTCGAAAATTAAAAAAACTGTTATTTTGTATCCTTAAATCTATATTCATTCTTCATAAGTTTAAATATTTAATTCATTATTCATACATTAAATTTAATTTTTCGTGCTGATTTTGACATTTCTTTCATCACTTTCTCTACATTAACTGGTTCTTCTCTATAAATACTTAATAAAACAGTTATCAGATTTTCGTAGGGGGGGCCCGGGCCCCCTATGGCCCCCCCCTGGCTACGCCCCTGGTGGATGATTAACTAAATGTGCGCTTCCACCTTTGTCCGTACTCAATAATCATTATTGCTTTCAATTTTTCGTAAACATTATTTTCTTTTTTTTTGAATTATTTTAGTATATGTGGGTAATGCCATCATCGAGTGCTAGATGTGCTCAATTACCAAGAGCAGCTGATAAGGTGCCATTTTACGGAGCGCTCAAAAAGTTTAGAGATTATTTGAATGGTCTTATACCGGAGTATGACGAAACGGAGTATGTGTTTAATGATCCGAAATATAGTCAAATTAGTACTGAGGCAGAATTAAAAGACGATGCTCATGCATTTACGACCTTAGAAAATGGAGAGGTGATTATTGGAGATCCAAATAAAAAGAAACGTGGACGTCCAAAGAAAGTTCGTGGTGAGAATGGTGAGGAAATTGTGACACCTAGTCGACGTAATAAGAACAACAATAATAATAATGAGAATCAAAACTCAGATTGTATAGATGATGATCCGAATAAGAAGAAACGGGGCCGTCCAAAGAAGGTTAAAGATGGAACAAATTCTTCGCCATCAGCTGCCAAGAAGAAATCAAATAGCAATAAAGATAAAGCACTGCAACAACAACAGTCAATATCGTCTCCAATGAGCGGTGGAGGAAATGATTTGAGCTCATTATCGCATCATCAACCATCACCATCATCACAAAATCCACAACTTTCTAGTCTCTCAAATCACGGTAATAATAGTAATACTGCATCGTCAAATTCTCAAACATCATTCTTGCCACCGATTGAATCTCCAACAGCCTCTCTAAATTTCCAAAATAATGGTGCTATAAATCAACAGACTATTGTGCAACAATCAAATAATTTACAAACACAACCAATGTCATCTCCCGTTAATCTTTGTTATCCACCGGCTGCGACTGCAACGAGCATGGAGCAATCTGAATTATCTCAGCACAATCATGTCACATATCAACAACAAAGATCACAGATTTTTAGCAATAATGCATCGCCTGAACTCACAGGAGAAATTACAACGAATAATATAAATGATCAAATTACGTCACCTGTGGCGTCAGCATCACCCAATTTAACGCCATCAGATTTTGAACCTCCTGAACCCACAGTAAATCCAACTCAAAACACCAACGAATTAACTCATTATTCGCAACAATCAGCGGCACAATCTTTAGAGCAACAACACCATCATACACACTCTCCATTATCTCAATCTCATTCGCCGTTGGGTTTATCTGGACTTTATCCTCATACACAGTCACAACAACAGCAACAACAACAATCAATGTCCCAAATGATGAATAGTGTTAATAATAGTTCAATATATTCACCATATTCCCGTCAGCAATCTACGCCTCAACAAAGCTACATGAGTATGAGTCAATCGCCGCACCATCCACAAACTCCGACCCAAAATATTGCTCCTAATAACAAGCCTCCACAGCAACAGCAACAACAGCAGCAAATTGGACAACAAATCAATGGCTCAACTACAGATTTATTTAAAGATGTTGCAGCCAAAAGCCTATCAGGATTAGAATCATTAGTCGATCAGATACCAAATATTAATGAACAAGATACAGGATTAAGTGCTCTAAGTAGTGGCACACAAAATGGTATGTCCTTAAATTCTAGTATTCTGTTGTTTTATCAGTTTGTTATAATTTTGGTTAAATTTATGTTCAACAGTTCAACTTCAAACAAATGAATTTAACATGATTTCTGGTTATTCTTCATCAGGATCTACGGTAGCGACAAATTTGACTTCAGCGTCATCGACTTTAGGCTCTTCCTCCTTATTGCCACCCACTTTACCGCATCACCATTCTCATTATACGACATACACATCACATGCTAATCAATCTCCATATTCGGCAAGTCCATTCTCTGTAAGTAGTTTAACGTCATCGACTTATCCGTCGGCAGCAGCGATGAATAATTATCATCAAAATCTTATGGGTGCGAGTCATTTGACGTCATCGTTTATGGAGCCTCATATGCCAGTTCCAGTCTCACCATTATATCATTCATATCAACAACAAGGATATCCTGGATATGGAGGACCTCCACATCCATCGGCTGCTGCTGCCCTTCACATGTCAAATTATCCTTACTATACAAATATGAATACAGGATATACGCAAGCACCCGGTAGTACTTACCATTCAATGTTCGATAGAATTAATTTCTGATAAATACTGAATTTAAAAGGATGTGATGATACAACCTCTCTGAAAAAAAAGTAAACACACGCTTGAATAATAATAATATGTAATAAGGCAATATACAAAGAAAAACATATGAGTGAGTAAATGTGTAAGAAACAAAAAAAAAACAACTAATAAGTATATAATTATTAAAAAAACTATATTTCTTTCTCTCAACGATGGTACTTAAATATAAAAACTATATATAATAAGAGAATGATGATCGCATCATTACATACTATCAGCAAAAGCAGAATATAATGTGTAAAATTTAACATTTAGGGAAATAAAAAATTTCATACATATATATGGGCAGTCACGTGACTAGGACGCATTTTTGCAATGACTGGTGAATTATTGGAAGCTTTAATTTTTTAACGGATTTTTTAAATTTGAATTTATTACATAGCTCTGTCAAGTTTAGTTTTTGAACTTTAAGTTTGAAGTTTCCGTTAAAGATTCAAAAGCTTTAAATTTTAACGGAAATTTGAAACTTATAATTATTACATGTAATTGTCAAGTTCAATTTTTGAACTTTAGGTAAGAATTTTAAATTTGAAAATTCCGTTAAAAATTGCAATCAAATCAGAGTGAGAATAAACATGCAAAAGTGCGTCAAAAATCAACTAATTATTGATGAGAATTTCTTTTCTTAAGGATTTTTACGTTTCTATTGGTTTCTAGTTAATTTAGTGGCCATGAAGCAATATTTGAAAGATTCAAAAAAGGATAAAATTTCTTGTTACTTAATGCCATCTTCGAATGACGTAATTGAATGAAATTAATACAGGGTACTTGTCATTAATAAGCAAAAATAATAAAATAAAAAAGAATAAAACTAAAAAATTTTATAGATCACATTTTTTGTGAATATATTATGATAATAATGATAATGATTAATCTTACATAATTTTTTTTTCTCGACATAAGCATCTATTAAGGATAAATAAAATAAATAATAAAAGTCTTCTGTGAGGGTGATAAAACATGATAATTAATAATGATTAATCTCTGAATTTTCTCGCGACTTAATTAAAAAATAAAATTGAAATTTCTAAAGTTTTTCTTGTGCTAATTAAAGAACTATTTAAACTTAAAACAAAAGGAAAGGAAATCTTAATGAAAACTTAATCAATTCGAAAACCAATATACGTAATGAATGCAATAGATTGCATCTAAAATTATGTACATAAATGTATGTAAATAAATATAATATTAAAATTACACGAATATGCTAAGTCGTAGAATCATACATAAGCAAAATGGGGAGTACATTGTACTTAAAATCTTTTTTACTTAATTATTCTCTGTTTAAATTCTTTTTAAACACACAATCCTTTTTCTTTCTAATGGATTTACACGAGATATGAACAAAACTACTACTACATGGGGGTCCTTGCTTTGCATAAATATTCAAATCGAGGACCCCCACGCTAAAACTTTTAAATCAAAGTAATAATGAAATCTTATGTGAGTAAGCAAGGAATTAAGGAAGATATTTTTTTCGAGGTACATACAAACAAGAGTGATTGATTTAAGTAATAATTTGATAGCTATATGAATATATTTTGATATAATATAATGAACAGACTGTGTTGCAGAACTTTTTAGTCTCATTTTTTTGATTTTTTGTTATTTAGCATCGTTACTTGATGTTGCCATTAATTGTTTTTACTTTCTTATATTAAAATAAACATTAAAAATCTTTCAGTTTTTTACACTCATTGAAATTGGTTTGAAAATGGTTTTTGAATTCTAAACTAAATTGAAAATAGATTATGGATTCTGAATTAAGCGACAAAAGGTGAAGGAAGGTCGCAATACGTAGCATTTGAGTCGCTCGTGAAATAACCTCAAAATTATTAAATTTCAAAATAAAAAGTTTTTCAAATCAATTTTTTCGAGTGTAGAACAAAAGAAAGAATCAAGAAGCATAAAGAATATATGTTATCCCGTCTTTCCTGGATATATCAGGATCGTAGAAATAGAATAAATACATACACAACACAATTAAAATAAAGAAGAAAAAAGTTTACGCCAGTTCCTATAACATGATAATTAATTAATTGTACGGAAAAAAAGGATATGTTCCTTAAACAAAAATTATATTTTTTTCTACCGCATTGAATGAGTCAATATGTATACAATGTAGAACTATAGTTTTGCCTTTTTTTATTAACATATTTGTACTTGATTTTTACGTTTGTCTCTTGTCTCACTCTCAGTTAATTATCAGTCTATTTAAAAAAAGTAAAAAGTTTAAAAATCTCAACATACTCATTAAGTCAAACTTGATCATTTGACATGAAAGTACTTGAATACATTTACTTAAGTATAAAAGACAATAATCTATATTTTTCGATTGTATGTAAAATTATTAAATGTTTTTTAAGTCATGACATTAAAATCATACTTCTTTCAGTTTTCTTATGTACGACAATATTTTTTAATTCCTCTTCTTAATTTTTTCGTGAAATATGATCAAAAATAATTTCAGTTTTTATTAATTTTGTATGATTCTCAAAACACAATTTTTGTATAGAATGGCCATAATAATACTTTTTTACTACTTACTAATTAATAAGGAGTTCTTTTCTAAGCTCATTTGAAATTTATGAATTATTGAATAATAGTTATTTAAGATAAATAGAAAATATCTTTAAAAGAGGACGAAAAAAAAAGTGGAATGAAGAAAAAATTAAAATTTTAGAGTTAAAGTGAAAACATAAAACAATCATGCTGTATGAAAAGATGACTTAACGGAAAAAATAAATGTTTTAAAATTAACAATATTGCTCTTTTTACTTTATGTTTGGGTCCTTTTTTGGTTTCAGTTCTAGTAGGTAATCTTAAGGAAATGTTAAATTCATTTAATTTAACTTTCAAAAACATAACGGTTTAATATTATTTGAATTTTTTAGCAAATTCGACGAGTTTTCTCACAAACTTGAATTTTACAAATTTATAAAGTAAGACTACATTCTGAGACAAATGCTTTAGCAATTCTTCAACTACTCATTGTTCTTAAGTAACCTCAGCACATCCAGTGCGTAAAATATGTCTATTTCTCCAAAACCTTTAATTTTCACAAATTTTACATTTTAAACTTAAGTAAGAAGAAATCCTATGGAGTATCAAATAAATATAATAAGTATTCAACTTACCAAGAATAACTCCTGTAAAACTTTGCAAATCATCTCGTAAATCCAGAGAAATTATCAAAATAAACAATCAAAACAAAAAATTATCCGATTTCAATCGTTACTAGCACATTCAAAGAAAAAACATTAGACCAATTTTGTGAAAATATAAACGCGTCTGCAAAAATATAATAAAACAATTGATTTTTATATAATTTAGTGAATTTTAAGACCTAGAAGTAAGTTTAAACTATGGCTGACGCAGCAGCACGTCAACTCCAATACGAGTACAAAGCGGTAAGTACCAAATTATTGATATTTACGACATTTATAATAAACGTATTAAAACGTTTAATAAAACATTTTTGTTTTCATAATTAGAACTCAAATTTGGTTCTACAAGCCGATGTCAGATTGATTGAAAGACCACGACGAGATGAAGCTACTGGAGAAGTCCTTACATTGGTGGGAAAATTGGATGGAACTAAAATGGGTGATAGAGCTCTGCGTTCGAAACCCGAAAATGCTGAAAAGAAAGCAAAAGAGTAAGTTTAAGCTTTAATTAACATACATTTATTTACTGGATCTTAATAATATGGATTTTATAGCCGTAAGAAACGTGATGAAGCACAATATGACCTTAAAGGCATGAAAGGAGCAACAATATTGTCAGAAGGAATCGATGATATGGTTGGAATCATTTATCGTCCAAAAACTCACGAAACAAGACAAACTTATGAGGTTCTATTGAGTTTTATTCAAGAAGCACTTGGCGATCAACCTAGAGATATTCTTTGTGGTGCTGCTGATGAAATTTTAACAGTTCTAAAGAATGACAAATTGAAAGATCGCGATCGTAAAAAAGAAATTGATGGATTACTTGGAACTGTTGCTGAAGAAAGATTCGCATTGTTAGTAAACCTTGGCAAGAAAATTACAGACTTTGGAACGGAATCAGCTGCAAATTTAGGAATAAATCCAGAAGAGCAACAAATCGATGAAACTTATGGAATTAATGTCCAATTTGAAGAATCTGAAGATGAAAGTATTGAGGATGATTTTGGAGAAGTACGTGACGACGATGATCAGGATGAAGGCGAAGAAGCTGTTGGCGATGGAGTTATTCATTCTGAAAATTTGGGTGCTTCAGAAGGAGATAAAAAAGAAAAAGCTATACATCCACTTGATATTGATGCATATTGGCTACAGCGTCGATTGAGAGACTATTTCCAAGATCCACTCATTTCTCAATCTAAAGCTGATGAAGTTTTAAGCATTTTAAAGAACTCTAACGATGATAGAGATTGTGAAAATCAGATGGTTCTATTACTAGGATACGATTGTTTTGATTTCATTAAAATCTTGAAAAAAAATCGTCAAATGATTTTACATTGCACACTCTTAGCAAAAGCACAAAGTGAGAGTGAAAAACAAAAGATTCGTGAAGATATGAAAAATGATTCGTTTTTATTGAAAATTTTAAGACAATTAGATACAGGAAAAGGTGAAGATCACGATGAGTATGAAGAAAAAATAAAGTCTAAAAAGCGTCGTTTAAATGACGATGACGATGATGGTGAAGACATGATGATTGATGACAATGATGGTGGGAAAATGGATGGAACTAGAAAAATCCTTGAATTAGACGATCTTGTTTTTACTCAAGGTTCACATTTTATGGCTAATAAAAAATGTCAATTACCTGACGGTTCTTTTCGTAAACAACGTAAAGGATATGAAGAAGTTCATGTTCCTGCACTTAAACCAAAACCATTTGATGAAAATGAAAAGTTAATGCCAATTGAAAAACTCCCAAAATATGCTCAACCAGTTTTTGATGGTTTTAAGACTCTTAATCGTATTCAAAGTAAAATTTGGAAAGCAGCACTAGAGTCTGATGAGAATCTCCTCATTTGTGCTCCAACTGGTGCTGGTAAAACTAATGTGGCACTGCTAACAATGATGAGAGAAATCGGTAAGCACATTAATGACGATGGAACGATTAATGTCGATGAATTTAAAATCATTTATATTGCACCAATGAGATCACTTGTACAAGAAATGGTTGGAAATTTCGGTAAGCGTCTTGCATCCTACAATATAACAGTTTCAGAATTGACTGGAGATCATCAATTGAGTCGTGAGCAAATTGCTGCTACACAAATTATTGTTTGTACCCCTGAGAAATGGGATATTATTACGAGAAAAGGTGGTGAAAAGACTTATACCCAACTTGTAAGGCTCATTATTATTGATGAAATTCATTTGTTGCACGATGAAAGAGGTCCAATATTAGAAAGTATTGTTGCTCGTACCATTCGTAATATCGAAACAACACAAGAAGATGTTAGACTTGTTGGATTATCTGCTACATTGCCTAATTATGAAGATGTTTCCACTTTCTTGCGTGTTAAACCCGATAAAGGTCTCTTTTATTTCGACAATAGTTTTCGTCCTGTAGCTTTACAGCAACAATATATTGGTGTCACTGAAAAGAAAGCTGTTAAACGATTCCAAGTCATGTCAATGATTGTTTATGAGAAAATTATGGAGAAAGCTGGACGTCATCAAGTTTTAGTCTTTGTACATTCACGTAAAGAAACTGGCAAAACAGCTCGTGCTATTCGTGACATTTGTTTAGAGAAAGATACACTTGGAAGTTTCTTAAATGAAGGCTCAGCTAGCATGGAAGTACTGAGACAAGAAGCAGAACAAGTTAAAAATCCAGATTTAAAAGATTTACTTCCTTATGGCTTTGCTATCCATCATGCTGGTATGAATCGTATTGATCGTACTTTAGTTGAAGATTTGTTTTCTGATAAGCACATTCAGGTATTAGTTTCAACATCCACACTTGCTTGGGGTGTTAATTTACCAGCTCATACGGTAATCATTAAAGGCACACAAGTTTATAATCCAGAAAAAGGTCGCTGGACTGAATTAGGTGCTCTTGATGTACTACAAATGTTTGGTCGTGCTGGTCGTCCTCAATTCGATACAAAAGGTGAAGGAATTTTAATCACAAATCATGGTGAATTGCAATATTATTTATCATTGCTAAATCAACAATTGCCTGTTGAGTCTCAATTAATTTCGCGACTTCCTGACATGTTGAATGCAGAAATTGTTCTTGGAACTGTTCAAAATGTAAAAGATGCTGTGTCATGGTTAGGATATACATATTTATACATCAGAATGATGCGCCAGCCTACACTCTATGGCATATCATATGATAAAAAGAAGGAAGATGAACGACTAGAAACATACAGAGCAGATTTAATTCATACAGCAGCTGCACAGCTTGATCGTAGTGGATTAGTAAAATATGATCGAAAATCTGGACATTTTCAAGTCACTGAATTGGGACGAATTGCTTCCCATTATTATTGTACGTACGAGACCATGCAGACATATAATCAATTACTAAAGCCAACATTGACTGAAATCGAACTATTCCGTGTCTTCTCGTTAAGCGGTGAATTTAAAAATATCACAGTTCGTGAAGAAGAGAAATTGGAATTGCAAAAATTGATGGAGCGTGTGCCAATTCCAATTAAGGAGAGTATGGAAGAACCATCTGCAAAAATTAATGTCTTACTGCAAGCCTACATTTCCCAATTAAAACTTGATGGATTTGCATTAATCTCAGATATGGTCTATGTCACACAATCGGCTGCTCGTTTAGTTCGAGCAATTTTCGAAATAGTTTTGCATCGTGGATGGGCACAATTAGCTGATAAATGTTTAACGTTGTGCAAAATGATTGATCGACGAATGTGGCAGTCAATGTCGCCATTGCGTCAATTTAGAAAAATGCCAGAAGAAATTGTCAAGAAAATTGAAAAGAAAAATTTCCCGTGGGAACGTCTATATGATTTGGAACCAAATGAGATTGGAGAATTGATTCGCGCACCGAAATTGGGTCGTACAATTCACAAGTTTATCCATCAATTCCCTAAATTGGAGTTATCAACACATATTCAGCCAATTACAAGATCAACATTGAGAGTTGAATTGACAATTACGCCTGATTTTATTTGGGACGAAAAGATTCATGGACAGTCTGAGGCATTTTGGATTTTAGTTGAGGATGTTGACTCTGAGGTCATTTTACATCATGAATATTTCTTGTTGAAAGGAAAGTATGCACAAGATGAGCATTTAGTTAAGTTCTTTGTGCCAGTCTTTGAACCTTTACCACCACAATACTTTTTGCGTGTCGTCTCAGATCGTTGGATTGCATCTGAAACTCAACTTCCGGTTAGTTTCCGTCACTTGATATTGCCAGAGAAGAATTTACCACCAACAGAGTTACTTGATTTACAGCCATTGCCAATTACTGCATTGAGAAATATCAAGTTTGAAAGCATCTATAAATTCCCACAATTTAATCCAATTCAGACACAAGTCTTTAATTCTGTATTCAATTCAGATGATAATGTTTTTGTTGGCGCTCCAACAAGTTCAGGAAAGACAACAATTGCAGAATTTGCAATTTTGAGATTGTTCCAACAAAATGGCGATGGAAGGTGTGTCTATTTGGTATCAAATGACGCTTTAGCTGATTTAATGTTTTTACAATGGCACAAGAAATTTGTCGACTCATTAGGATTACGTGTTGTAAAATTAACGGGTGAGACAGGAGCTGATTTAAAATTATTGGCAAGAGGTCAAATTATTGTCACAACAGCTGACAAATGGGACATCTTATCGCGTCGATGGAAACAACGTAAAAATGTCCAAAATGTCAATCTATTTATTGTTGATGAATTGCACTTAATTGGCGGTGAAGATGGACCTGTATTGGAGGTGGTTTGTTCTCGCATGCGTTATATTAGCTCACAAATTGAGAAACAAATAAGAATTGTGGCTTTATCATCATCATTGGCTGACTTTAAGGACGTTGCACAATGGCTTGGATGTAATGCTAATGCAACATTTAATTTCCATCCTAGTGTTCGTCCAATTCCTTTGGAATTACATGTTCAAGGCTTTAATATTACACATCATGCATCGAGAATTGCAGCAATGTCCAAACCAGTTTATAATGCCATCGTTAAGCACAGTCCACATAAGCCAGTTATAGTTTTTGTAACATCCAGAAAACTTTCACGATTAACAGCTATCGATATTTTAACATATTGTGCTGCTGAAGGACAAGCTTCGAGATTTTTGCATGCTGACGAAAATGATTCAGTGTTTAAGCAGTTCTTGGACAATATATCCGATAAAACACTTAAAGAGACATTATCTCAAGGTGTCGCATACATTCATGAAGGATTATCCCCCTCTGATCGTCGCATGGTTGAAGAATTATTTGATTCTGGTGCTGTACAAGTCGCTGTTGTGACTCGCGAACTCTGTTGGGGATTGAGCATCTCATCGTATTTAGTCGTTATCATGGACACTCAATTTTATAATGGAAAAAACCACTCGTATGAAGATTATGTAAGTACCTCCTTAATTGCTAATAAGCATGTTTGTCTTGTTGATTAAAAGAAATATGTTTTCTCACGCTTCCATTAATACTAAGCTTGAAACTTTTTAATTGCATCTTTTTGATGAAATCAGAGCTCGAAGTCGACTCGAGTTTACTGCTGAGTGCTTGATTTTTAAAATTTTTTGATCGTTATTCCTCCTTAAGATTCTAAGAAAATTTCGGCTAAAACTCAATGACTTTCTACCGAGTTGGTTTTTTGCATTTGTGAAGTATGTAATTTCATCTAAAAAACAGAACTGGTTCCTTTTTTGATCAGTTTTTTTTTCTTGCCGAAATTGCATATAAATTCTCAGAAAATTTCGATAAAAGTCGTTAAATCACAAATTCCCAATATCAATAGTCGTTAAAAATGTCAAAGTTTTTGAAATGCTTTTAAGACACAAGTTTCTTTCAACAATCCACTCAATTCTCGAGTATTAATGTAAATATTTTTTGCTTTCAATTTTTAAAAATAGTGTACAACTGATGTTATGCAAATGATTGGCAGAGCAAATCGACCGATGGACGATGACGACGCAAAATGTGTATTGATGTGTCAGAATGCAAAGAAAGACTTCTTTAAGAAATTCTTAAACGAGCCATTGCCAGTTGAGAGTCATTTAGATCATCGTCTTCACGATCATTTTAATGCAGAAATTGTTACGAAAACAATTGAAAATAAACAGGATGCAGTTGATTATCTTACTTGGACATTCTTTTATCGACGATTAACTCAAAATCCCAATTACTATAATTTGCAAGGAGTTACACACAGGTATTATCAATTTTCTACTGAATTCTCTTGTGCCTTACAATGTATTTAACTTGCTATTTCTCTTTTTCTATTCATAAAACACAGTTATTTGTCGGATCATTTATCAGAATTAGTGGAATCGACGCTTAGTGATCTTGAACAATCAAAATGCATCAGCGTAGAGGATGAAATGGATACATTGGCGCTTAATCTTGGCATGATTGCGGCATATTATTACATTAATTACACAACAATTGAGCTATTCAGTTTATCACTTAATAGCAAAACAAAGATTAGAGGCTTGCTTGAAATCATTTCATCAGCAGCTGAATATGAGGATATTGTTGTTCGTCATCGTGAAGATTCTGTTCTTAAAGCATTGTCAGCAAGATTACCGAATAAATTAAATGGTCCAAATAATTCGTCACCAAAATACAATGATCCACATATTAAGACAAACTTATTATTGCAAGCACATTTATCAAGAATTCAACTTAGTGCTGAACTTCAAAGCGACACAGAATTAATCCTTGGTAAGGCAATTCGTTTAATTCAAGCATGTGTTGATGTATTATCATCTAATGGATGGCTTTCACCGGCTGTTGCTGCAATGGAATTAGCTCAAATGGTTACACAGGCAATGTGGAGTAAAGATTCATATCTTAAGCAATTACCTCACTTTACCAACGATATCATTAAACGTTGTCAAGAGAAAAACATTGAAGCTGTTTTTGATATTATGGAATTGGAAGATGAAGACCGAACAAAAATGTTGCAACTTGATGATAAGAAAATGGCTGATGTGGCTAAATTCTGTAATCGTTATCCAAATATTGAAATGAATTTCGAAGTTGTTGATAAAGATGATGTCCATTCAGGCTCAAGTGTTAATGTCGTCGTACAACTTGAACGTGAAGATGAAGTTACTGGCCCAGTAATTGCTCCGTTCTTCCCACAGAAACGTGAAGAAGGTTGGTGGGTTGTTATTGGTGATCCAAAGAATAATTCATTGCTGTCCATTAAACGATTAACATTACAACAAAAAGCAAATGTTAAGCTTGACTTTGTTGCACCAAGTCCAGGAAATTATGAATATACATTATACTTTATGAGTGACTGCTTTATGGGATGTGATCAAGAATACAAGTTCAGTATAAATGTTGGAGATTATCAGTCGGACGATAGCAGTGAATCAGATTAAAAACCCTTTTATAAAATTTAATTATACTGTAGCTGAAATGATTTTCATGCAACAAACTTATTGAATAAACAATTAATTAAAAATATCCTTTAATATCGCAGACAATTTGGCATTTGATTTATTTTTTGAAACGTGGGCGTGTGCGATATTTTTAATATAAGATTATTATAAAGTTTTGAAACTTATTTTTAACTTTTTATGCCGTTATATTTCAAATAATACTTTTTTTGCTTTTTTCAAATAGTTTGTGTCCGTTAAATTTCAAATATTTTGTGACAGTTATTTTTTTAAATATTTTTCACCCTTTATTTTTAAATCTAATAATTAATTTAACGTCAAATGGAAGCTCCAAACTAGTATAACTTAATGTAAATCCCCAGATTCTTTATTATTCAACAGTTTTTTCGTAGAATCAATGGAAATCTCAAGACAAGTCTCGATCCTGGGATTTTCCGATTCATCACAGCTTGAAGCTTAATAATCAACAATCGTCATGTGTTATTATAACAGAAATAAATAATCGCAGTTGAATAATCAGCTATTAAAAGTTATAAATAGAACTTCGGTCGGTAAGATCGACAAGATTCTCGAAACAAAATTCAATATTTTCAGGAAGCAAAAAACAAAATCGGAAGCGCTATTATTCTTTCAAGGTCGTTCTATACGAGCTCTTAAATTTCCCTTTATTTTGAAACAAGCTGGAAAATGAAATTGCGTAAATGCATTGACAGTTGAGAACATGATTGAATGTTGACTGAATCTGAATTTTATGAAGCTAGTGTTAATCAACATTTAAATATTTTGACGGGAAATGTGACTTGAGTGTTATGAATTATTAGGAAAAATAAGCCGACAGCCACACGCGGACTAGCTTCTTCTTAAAACTGTTATTGAGTGTTAAACCAACTTATTGGACATCAGCAAACTTTTGAGAAATGTGAAAAAATATTTAAAGACACGAATAGCAATTATCCATTATTTTCCAAGCCAAAAAGTCAAATATTTATCATGTCTACATCAAATACAAGAAATTTTTCATGTAGTCGAGACGGAATCAATGCATGTACCAGCATTTCTACCGAACTTTATAAATAGATTTACAATAGATATGTTTCAACTGTCACTATGCATGCAGGCAACAAAACCATTCATACAAACACACATTTTCATGCAAAGATCACGTGAACTTAACCAGTTTCGTTAAGACACTATTTTTATGATAATCGGCAGCAAAGCACTAAAAATAAAGAGTAAGGAAAGAGGAAAGAGAAGAGCAAAATTCAGTCCACTTAATAATCTTTTTATTTTTACCTCCACAATGATTTTGAATAAATTTAAATTTATTATTATTCATGTTCAATGTGATGCATGCTAGATAACCATTAAAATAATTTTTATGTTTCATCTCTTGAGGTACATTCCATTCAACTCAGTCGCTAGTCACAATCATACATCAGAAAATGACTACTTGAGCACATACATACCTCAATGTGCTGTTCCTACGCATTCAATTTGTTTAGTTCTTTCAATTCAATCGTTGGCTTTCTTTTAAAAAGGCGAAACTTAAACTTTTTCTTTAAAAAGATATTTATGAAGCCAGTCTGTGTGAGAGACAAACACTCTTGTGCTTCATTTACATAATTGAGTGCATTTCAAGTTTCCTTAATAGACAGCAACTATGTGTGTTCATAAATAGTCAGTCTGCGTTTTTATTTTAGCATATGGTCTTATTCTTATTATGGTTTTAATCTCTACTTCTATGTACTACAATTTCAAGTTATCAATAATTTTCTTTTTAATACTGCCTTATCATCCCCGACCAAAATAACGGGAATTCCTTTTCTTAGAAAAAGTTATCAACAAATGGTGAATCACTTAACGTTATACAGTCTTGGATTTTTTGAGAGAAAATGTTTTCTCCTTTAAGAATGGAATAAGAAAGAGACGGAAAGATTTCAAGTCCTTTTATGTTTTTTTGGGGAATGTCAAAAATTAATGTTAAGACTGGAAATTTTATTACGTCTTACATATTGGTGCACAGGAAATTTGTAAATAAATGAAAGTTTTTCAACATTTTCAGGCTCGATGTTTATGATTATGTACCCTGCTTTTTCGTTATAAGCTACTACTCGTTATTAAGCTACTAGTGAGCCAAAATCACTTTTTTATTCTTCTAAGCTACTAGCTTATAACGAAAAAACAGGGTAAGAAACTTTTAAGTTTCAAAAGACATTGTAAATTTACAGAAAATTGACTTTAAATTTTAACGAGTTGTGATTTTAAAAAATTGAATCTTAATTTAACGGTTTTGTTTTCAAATTACTTTAGGTTCAAATTTTGAAATTCAATTCAAATATTTTATTATCCGTTAAAATTTGAATTTATATTCATCGTTAATCTTTAATCATTTTTAAATCTAAGTTCTGAACAAAATCTTAGTAAACTTAATTCACCAATTTTAAAAAATTTCAACTTTTATTTTTGTAGTAGTGAACAAGAAAGTTTAAAAAACAATTATATTAATAGGCTATAAAGTACAGCATAAAATTAAATATTGAAAGTCAATAAGTTACATGTATGTTTAACAGGTCCCAATGTAGTAGAAATTTCCCTCTTCTTCTTATTCCATTCATTCCATTTCTGTCCATAAGCTGTGAGAGTCGGTTTGTGGATTTGTGGAGAAAAAAAAATTATTTTCCAACATTTTTTTAAATCAATTTTTCAATGAAAGAACGATTAATAACTAGTAAAAACGTTTAGTTTTAATATAATTGTACATATTCTATTAATTTATAAGTTAAATAGTTCAAGTTTTGTGTTAAAAAAGTTAAAATTGTAAAAAATAACAAAAACATCATTTTTGGAAGCAAAAAAAAATCGAAGAAAAGTCACGTAAACAAAATTATTTGATGTTAATACGGTAAGTACTAAGTAAAAATCAATGTTTTCATACTCAAAAAATGCAATACGTTAGACATAAACTGGTTTTGGATCTGATTTCAAAAGGAAATCCAGAAACCAGTTAATATTATTTATTGGAAGTTGCTGCAAATCCAAATATATGAAATATGATAAGAGGAAGCCCGTAATGACACAGTTTCCAGTTAATACTACACATTTGAGTCAATTTAAATAGAACTGGAAGATTACCCGGTTTTTAAGGGTCAATAATAGCTTAATAATTTCATTACTAGTTTACGATGTGCTACTATGTAGATTTTTCAATATTACACTGTACACATTCATGCCTTTACTATATGTGTGAGAACAAAAATATTTTCAAATGGCGGTTCCATTGAATAAAACGGAATAGAATAAATAATAATATAGAGAAAAGAGGGCAAAGAAGAATGTTTGAGGCAGTTTGAGGAAATGCATTGATAAAAAATTCTAAAAAATGAAATTTGAGACATAACAAAGGCCTTATAAAAATCACGGGCTGATCATATGATTGAGACAAAACAAAAATCTAAAAAGAATTTGGTGGAGACCTTTTTATGACCATATCTGATTATCCTTTTAAAAATATTTCTCGTCTTCCTTCCATCTCCTTCTTTTGGTGATGCCAAAGTCATAAAAACATATAAGTCGGTTATAGAGCAAAGTCAATAAACAGTGACAACCCATAAATAATTTGAGGCTTCGTCATATTGGTTTTTAATCACTCCAGAGCGTAGCGTCTCCAATAAGATTCTTACAGATTGTCATATTAGAATATAATTTGATGACGCTCATGCCTGATAAGTATCTAGGTTTAAAATGCAAAAATGAGTAGAGTCATAAAAGTTCCAATCAGATAAGATAAATGCATTTTTTGGGACTAAAAGATAAGACTGCAATCCCAACAAGACCTTTGTTGATCTACGTTGTAATCTCATTGTATTTGTTTACTGCTTATTTATAAACACAGGAACGATAAGACGCTTATCTCTAGCTCTTCGATGAATTTTGATGGCTTAAAAGGAATCATTACTGGGTATAATTTTATTTTAATTGAGCATTAAAAGTTATTGCATCCCAGATAATAAGAAAGTCATCCGTAGGACGCCTCTTTTTTTTCTCCTTTCTCTCAAAGAATTTCTTCTGGAACGAAAATGTCTTATGCCAGCAAGCCCCCAGAAAATATTTACACAATCAGCTGCTTCATACCAAAATATTTTGTATATATTTGGTACGAGAAAGCTTCGATATAAATTTTTCTTGGGGAATAATAATAGCAATAGCATCTACACGTGCCGGTTATTTTCTTTTATTTGCCCCCCATTTGCCTCCCGAAGCTTCTCTCGAAATCTGTTATATTATGAAATGACTGCGTACGCATATGACTCCTTCCTTACTTTTTTTTTCGGGTGATTCGCGTGTACTGAATAAAAGTTTGGATGAAAAAGCGAAACGACAAGGAAAATGGAATGTTACACGCGCAATTTTTCTCCATCCACAAGCTTTTGTGCGTTTGATAAACAATGTGTACCTTAAAAACTATCCCGTGTGTACCGCAAGTTTATATTATCGTGTAAAAATTTAATTAAATGAGTCTTTCGTCAATGCCAACACAAGGAATTAGTTCTGGCACGAGAATTTGTCATCAGGTACCTAAAAGTAAGGCAAATTGATGTGATAAAATTTGAGTAATAAGAAGACCAGCAATAACAATAAAGTATTAGAGAAGGAAGTGAAATTTCGACAGGTGTGACTGCTATTGACACGAGAAAGCATTTCTTCTATTTTTAATCACCTAATGCGATGCATTTTCGATTTGAAAATTTGTCAATTGTCGTCAATCGATTAGAAAATAGCTCAATTTGTTTACATAATATACAATTTAAGGCTAGCTTAAGTTACAATAATCGTAAAATTATTACCGTAGGTTACGAATTTGCGAAAAGAATCATCAAAACAAAATGAGTGATAATTTTCATTCCGAAATTCTAGTTCAGTGGCTTTTGCTAATTTTAGAAATATTTGTAACTTGATTGACGAGAAACACGCGAACCTAATTGAAAAAAGAACTCATTTTACTTATTATGGATGTAATGTATATTTTTTTTGCCACCTGTCTGTGATGATGCCGCAGAAATTTTCATCTTGTGATTAATACTTGCTTCATACGTATTAATCGTTTGTTGTGGCTGTAGAGTTGAAATGAAAATTCAAATTTTGACTTAACGAATTTTCTGCGCGTCTTGTGATAGATTTCGTACATGAGAGTTTGTTTTGCGGCGCAGGCATGCTCAATATTATCAATCGGAAATTTAGATGAGATTTTTTTTGTTACAAAATGTACTTGTGGACATTTTTTGGAGATTATTCTTTGATTTTTGAATTTGAGAAATGTTAAAAGCTGATGCTTTTTATGTCACATGATTTATGAGATTATTCAAGCCTTAAAAGCTTTGGCTATAACCATTTCAGCTAAATCCCATTACACTCTGAATTGTAAGACATCATTAAAGAACCATTATCAACTTTTTCTATTTATTTTGGCATTACTTGTTATCTCCATCATGTCTTCTTCTGTATATTTGTCATGAATCACAACACAGAAGTGAAAGGAGGCTCTAAGGTTAAAGTAAATAGTATTGATTCATAATCTGTTTTCGAAGTGATAAGGATGATGATTTAAAACCTCCTTTATTGTGTCTTATTTAAAAAGTCATCTTGTGTAATAAATTTAATGGCTGTGACCACTTTCTCATTTTTATTTTGCGATAGCCTTTTGCCTTATCACACTTTATTTTCATTTCATGCACGAGTCCTGTCAAAAAAGAGAAGCTGTGCATATAAAACATTTTGAAAAAGAATATAAAGATGATTTAAAAACAATTACATGTGATTTACAACGATCCATGAGATCATGTGAAAATGAAAATATTTTTAAATGGCGTTTTATATATTTGATACATAAAAAAATTATTACGAGATAATGTTACTTACTTTGAGCCGTGCAAAAAATAGAACAGCTTAAAGTGCAACATTTATTTTTAAACAAGGTGCTTGTTGTTGTTTTGGCTGGAATCTTATTCTAATTTTATAACGATAGACTTTAGAGACACACCCCAAAGCTATTAAAAAGAATTTTTCTTTTGGATGTGCGAATAGAAAAACAACATGATTTGCGTAAAAGTCATGATTAACTAGACAAGAGTAGCATATTCTTATAATTTATATTCGTGTTTTTAGGAAATGTGGATGTCAAAATCCGAAAAATGTGGTGGAAATTTTCCACTGCCAAATTAAATAATTTCTTTTCGCGCGCTTCTGTGTGCGATTATTCAGTTAAGGCTCTCAAATATCAACATTATCATCATCATGTCGCTGAAATTGCGCCGAAAACAGACTGATTGATACTGTTTTTTATTATTATTTATGTTTACTCATGCAACTTGAATGTTTTGGTGAAAAAAGTACACGATTGTAAATTTTTACAACTGATAACTTTCGTAATAGGCGCCAATTTGATTAATTCCCTGTAGTGGAAATTTTATTTAATCTTTAAAAAATTAATTATTGCCGGATACGAGCGGAAATAAATATTGAACTGAATTTAATTGCTTTTTGGGAACTTTTAAGAGAGAAATTACGACGGCATTTGAATGAAGATCGTGGCAGTAAATGTGATGAGTTCAAATGTAGAACTTTAATTAATTAATCTTAATAATTGACAATAATAATCCCGTTTGGCTTTAAATGATGCCAAAAAAAGTTTATTTCTATTTGTGGGAATTTCACGGGTTATTTTATTCACGACAAATCTTATTAATATGGAAATAAGTTTGTCCGTAAGCCAGTCTACAGTTTGTTTTCTATGAATTTAAATGAATGCTACAGCCGTGCCAATATTAAATATCTCCATATAAGGAACACGTGTCTTGTGTATGCGTTGAAAGGCATTTGGACACAATTTACTGCTATCAAATTTATGTTTTATTATTTTTCAAGTGGTATCTCTCGAGATCTTACCCAAATATTTGATTGCCAAAAAAAAATGTTTTTATGGCTCAGGGATTGTTTAATAGTGATGTCTATTAAGGATTTGAATCAACATTTCAAACCTTTCTTAATTGAATTCTTATTAATGGGTCGTTCTCATATTAAGTAGTAAAATGGAAGTGGTTCTGAGATAGATTACAAATGAGGAAGAGGTGAGGGGGTCTAAAAATCCAGTTTTCTGCTGAACGTAACAAGCGTCAAGCAGCTTTAGAATCACTAATGCTGAAGTGAAGCAGAGCTGTATGGTAATCAAGTTTGTAACAGTTAGTTGTAGATTAAGTAACAAATGAAAGAGGTAGAGGGGAGAGAGGGGATGGGATTTGAAGCAATTAGCCACTTTAATGGAAATGATCCTTTTGAAACAAAAGATACTCTAAAATCTCAGTTTTGATGGACATCATTTATAAGCAAATCTGTGTATATCTCATAAATTTCGTGAATGTGGAAAACAAGCAGAAACAAGATAAATTTGAAGAAGAGATTTGGTATAGGATTCAATAGAAAGTAATAGGCTTATACGATACTACATACCCTAGTAACCAAAAGGCAGATCAATGTATTCCATGAGAATCTTCCATGGATGATACATATGTATTATCCATGTATTATCCATTGGAAGATGATGTCCTATGGAAATGGAAGATAAATGGACAATGCAATAAGACATCAATGTAATACATCAAAGGAATACAAATGGAAAACAAATGGATTACTTTTGTTTTGGATAAAACACGTGGTAAATTACACGTGTTCTTTTATATTTTTCTTTTATTTGTGTAAATTATTGTAAAAGTATTAGTGTGTACTTAATTAAAGTACACTAACACTACGAAAAAGAACAAAAAGGACTTAATTTAATTAAGTCGCATACTGATGAACGCCCAAGACTCGCACACAAACCTGAGGAAGATAAACAATAAATTGAAAGTC